CTCCAAAAGTTTGTATGAAGTACTCAAAAGTATTTCTATCAATACGAAAATGTGACTTAAAATCTATAATAAAATAATGTAAAAATACTATTATAAATGATATAATAAAAAATAAATAATACGTAAGTATAGTTTTATGATTACCTGTTAAAGAATAAACAAGAGCAACATTTTCAAAGAAATTATTGATTTTAAGATGTCGTTCTCTTCTGTGTGCTATTTCCCAATCATTATTATTTTCTTCATTATTATTAAAAAAAAATGTTCCAGAATAACAATATATCCATTTCTTATCTATAAAAATATATTAATAAATTATTTTTATACATTAATATGAATAATTACAAATTATATTTTTACACCCACATATTCTTATTAAACAGAAATCAATAATCAAAATGGTGAAGTTTTATTGTAATTCTTAATATATACAAATTTATCTTTTTACTCTCAAAATTATTTTTCTAAATTAAAAATGTTTGCAAAGATGTAAATAAATATTGTCTAAAATTTAATACTATATATATATATTAATATATTAATTAATTAACAATTAAAGTAAAGTGTGAGGTTATGATTTATTTGTTTTTCTTTTTACAACTTATATTAATAAAATAAAATCAGTTTTATTAATATATGTTTGATAAACATAGCAATATTAAATATTAGAGAAATAATAAATAGTATACCTTTGTTTTATAAATGTTGGATTTCGTGGAATGTTATTTTATCACACTGCGTTTTTCGTTGCCTTTATTTCCTTAACTGTTTCTAATCCAGTCCGATTAGTGCGGAGACAGCGATTCAGATTCCGGATTAGTCTAGGGAAATTTGGAAAGTGTCGATTGAGTACCACTGCTCGGTCCGATTAGAGATCCGATTATTTGTCGTAAGCACCCAAGAAGTAATTGCGCCGTCCAAAAGCGCATGGGCCTCGCCGTTGCATATGGCGCTAAAAAAAGGTGGCACGTGGCGACCATGCGGTGATTACCGCAAGCTCAACAACCGAACGGTGCCGGACAGGTACTCGATTCCACACATCGAGGATTTCACACAAACTCTTCACGGGAAATCAATTTTTTCCACTCTGGATCTGGTGAGAGCTTACAACCAGATTCCAGTAAATCCGGAAGATGTGCCTAAAACGGCGATCACCACACCGTTCGGGCTATTCGAATTTGTTAAAATGCCTTTCGACTTAAGAAACGCAGCTGAGACTTTCCAGAGATTCATCAATGAGGTGACACGCGGACTCGAATTCTGCTACGCCTACATTGATGACATCCTGGTAGCATCTCACGACAAAGAAGAGCACAAAAAGCATTTAAGATTACTGTTCCAGAGATTCAGCCAGTACGGAATTCAACTCAACCCAGCTAAATGCGTGTTCGGCAAAGAGACCGTAGCATTTTTGGGGTACCAAGTCTCAGCAGAAGGAACACAGCCCTTACCGAAGAAAGTTGAGGCAATACGGAATTTCCAGAAGCCCACCACGGTCAAACAGCTTCGGCAGTTCCTCGGGACGCTGAATTTTTACAAGAGGTTTATTCCGGGAGCAGCCATGGACCAAGCCATTTTAAACGACGCGCTCAAAGGCAACCAGAAGGGCAAAACACCAATTGCATAGAGCGCAGAAAGAGAAGCAGCATTCGAAAAGTGCAGGGAGAGCCTTGCACGAGCAACGCTTTTGGCGCATCTCGATCCAGCGGCGGAGTTTTCCTTGACGACCGACGCCTCGGATTTTGCGATTGGAGCAATAATTTACCAGCACGGCGAACACGGACAACAACCGGTGGCGTTGTTCAGCAAAAAGCTTACCGTCGCGCAGCAGAAATACAGCCCGTACGACTGAGAGCTCCTGGCGATTTACGCAGCCATCAAATATTTTCGACACTGATTGGAAGGAAAGGAGTTCACTATATATACGGACCACAAATCGCTCATCTTCGCATTCCGCAAGGATCCATTGCAGAGCTTACCAAGGCAGACGTGGCACTTTGAATTCATCGGGCAATTTTCGACCGATATCAGACACGTCGCGGGCAAGGACAACGTCGTAGCCGACACGCTATCAAGGACGCAGGCCGTCCAGCAAGCTATAAATTTTGCAGAGCTCGCCAAATTGCAGCAAGATGACGCCGAACTGCGAACATTGCTCTAGGGGACTACGAAACTCCAGCTCAAGGAGACCGTAATTCCCGGCACAGACATCAAACTATTTTGCGATACATCGACGGGTATACCACGCCCATATGTCACTCAATCTTTCCGGAAGCAAATTTTCAAGCAATTGCACGGATTGGCGCACACGGGGATAAAATCCACCGTCAAACTAATAACGCAACGCTTCGTGTGGACCGGCATCAAAGAAGATTGCCGCAGATGGGCGCAGGCCTGCCTCCCTTGCCAAAAATCTAAGGTTCACCGGCACACCGTCTCACCGACGGGAAATTTTATGGGGCCTACGAGCAGGTTCCAACACATTCACATGAATATCGTTGGACCATTACCTCCATCTCGAGGAAAAAAATACTGTCTCACGATTGTCGACAGATTTACACGTTGGCCGGAAGCGTACCCGATGTCAGATATCACCGCAGAAGCCGTGGCTCGCCCGCTATTCGAAAATTAGATCGCGCGTTTCGGAGCGCCGGCACGGATTACAACGGACCAAGGGCGGCAATTTGAGTCTGAACTTTTTAAGCAGTTGGCCAGACTGACCGGATCGCAACACATCCGCACAACCGCCTATCATCCAGCAGCAAACGGCATGGTGGAAAGCTGCACCGTCAACTCAAAGCGGCTATTAAAAGTCACGAAACGGAAGCATGGACGCAAGTCCTCTCGATCATTTTACTAGGCATCCGCGCCGCAGTAAAAGAAGACATCGGAGTCACGCCAGCAGAATTAGTTTTTGGAGAAACTATAAGAATTCCGGGACAATTCTTGGACCAGCAAACCAAAGAGCAACCAACGGACGAGTTTGTGCGTCATTTACACGAAAAAATAAGCAAACTCCGTCCGCGCATACAGCGACACGGC